GCGTGTTTCACAGTCTCGCCACCGTCAGCTAGGTACTCTCCGCCTCACAGGCGGGCGTCGGGGATACCGGAGTTAGACAGCCTCTCATGCGTCCTTAGTCGAATACTTCCTACAGAGACAGAGACAACACCCAACGTCGAGGAAGCTACGCGTATAAGTTAGTGTTGTGGGTCTCTGAGTAGTACAGTATAGCCGTTCAGTATAGAATATATTGTTCGACCTGTATAGTCTAGTTATTTAGAAGATCAACAAACATCTGTTTCCGTTTACGTTTAGAGGGTCAAACATGGTACATCTTAAGGAAACCACAGGGTGGTGTTACAACACTAAGTCTTTAGATAATTCACGTCGATTACGCTCATAAGTGTCGGTCTTCTTTCTACTCTCACCCCCCAATCTCTTGACCAAGGTGTCGACACCGTTTTTGTGTCTCGTTAGACCACGCTGATTAATTTATTTTAATTTTTTTACCTCATGTGTTTTTTAATTCTGACCGAGCACGCATACGGAGCACCACCCGGGGGAGCACGGTGACGCGTTAATTGTTGTACACCACCGCCCGCTGTCGCGGTAATATAGTCCCCTTCTCTCCTCCGCGATTTAATAAAGTCTAAGACACACCTAACTCATACAGAGATTTGGGCATATCTGTTACAAGGTCGTTACGGTCGTACCTAGGTCTGTACTCGCGTAGTCACCAACCAAGTGTACCACAAAACCTTTTCGGGCGCTACGTTCACTCACGAGTCCCACCCTTTCATACCAAGTATAAATCTGTGTGATGCTACTTATAGTACTGTGCAGTTGAACACCAGTCTAACCCTGGTCCCTACTTTGTTGTCCCACACAATCGTACACCCGACAGAGAGCACGTGTCGTTCAGGACAGGGCGGCGAAAAAATCATGGTCTTACATTTCCCGGGAAACAAAGGGCTTATAAAGACCCGGCACCAGGTTATATAAGCTACCCTATGCGTCTGTGTTGTTACGTACACCAGTGGTCCAGCGAGTGGGACCACACACAACTAAACAAAAAATGTTCCATGGAACAGCAACAACACACAACAAAATACAACACAAACTATAACATCGTACCGAAAGACGATTAATACAAAATTCCAGAAACGACAGGAGCGACGCACGACCGTCGAAGGGGTGGCTACCGACGGTTTTGAGATTAGAGACCCTTTACACACTCATGCCGTCGCGAGCTACAACACTGTCACCTCGCCGACTTAATTTAACACACACAACAACACCGTCATGTGAAAAAACGGGTAGTGACACACACCAATTCCCTCAGGGGAAACGGCGAGGGGACATGGCGGCGTGCAAGGGGTGGTAGCCATACAGCAGGTCGAGCAAAGAGAGTGAAAGGAAAAGGGCAAGAAAACATCTCCACAGTAGCGTCCCCAGTCGTGAGTAGTACCCGGAATAGCGAGACGATGTCGGCGCGGGTGAAGTTCAGGAACCAAAGTAGTGAGGTTACAGTACAACACAAAAAAATATTCCTACGGTTTTCAAAAAGCAACTGATCAGTCCCCAACGTACCACAAAAAAAAAAGTCTGAAGTCTTTCAGGATGTGAGGGTGGGGGGTATTTCTGCAGTTTTGTAGTTGTGAATGAATCAGCGGGGAGGCTGGTAGAGGGGGGGGGCTGTGCACGAGCGTTCACTGTCGGCGATTATGCTCTGTGGAGGCAGCTCTTCAGGAGAAGTAAGGCTGTGGGATGGAGGAGGAGAGGTGGTGGGGTGGGCGCGCGAGGGAGAGAGGGGGACAAGGGAGATAGATCCAAAGCCCCCCAGTCAGGCAGACAGACCTTTGACAGAGGAGCTCTGTGATTCGCCTCTTTCATCTTCAGAACCCCCCCATCCAGTCGGATAATTATGAGACAAATGCACAGGACCCCTGCTGCTTGAGTGGCAATGGGCATGGGAGGCCAGAAACACAGAGAGAGGGTTCAAACCTGCACGTCTCGACCGGTCTGCGGGGAGGGGGGGACGGAGGGAATGAGAGATGGGGGGGGTGTTTAGGGGTCTGGGAAATTCCCCACTCTCCCAAGAGAGACACGTCGGCCCACAGATCATAGTTCAGGGACGGCCTGGTTGTGATACTAGCGAGGCTAAAACTGGCTTAAGCCAACAACCTTCTTTCAACTTCCACACACTCACATCCAGTTAATGAATACTGTATAGTTTGGATTTTCAAACGCACCTTTCTGAAAAACATCTGAAATATGCTCCCTGACCTCTGCGCTCAGTTGAGTCTGAGCCAACATGTTGTTTTATTAATGTATTTGATGGTGCTCTGGTCTGCGCTGATAAGAGAGCACAGTCAGGGACAGCTATGGTACCTACATGTTTATCTCACACCAAGCACACTTAGACCCTGGCGGCCTCAAGCAAACACATTGTACAAATTCCAATGAGAATCCAACATGTAAAACCACTTTGAATTCAAAAGGGACCTTTGTGAAAATAACTCAAAATGTTGTGGAAATATGAAAGCAGATTGTACAAGCAATACATACTTTTTCTGCCAAAGTCAGTTCATTTGAGGCCTGTGTAATGTGTCTGAGGCCTCAGCCAGTGATGTGTCAATGATTGTCAGCGCTCACAACGGCGTCTGGCCTCAGCCAAGAGGAGTTCCCACTGGCGAGAGCGGCAGGCCGAGCCAGGGCGACTGGGTGCTCCCTCTCAGGGCAAATGGCTCTCCTCCAGCTGGGCGAGAGGCCACCGAGGATCCCTGCCACCCATTGCCACTGTTTGCACTCCCCAGGCTCTGCCAAGCGAGCGGCGGGAAAGTGCACACAAACACACGCGCGCACACACCTTGGAAGGAATTATCCGATCATAGAATGCCACCACATCTAAGACCAGATCTTGGCCCAAAACAGACAAAGAAAACAGAGCGTGCACTCATTCAGACGATTTTGCTGGCACTGCTCCCCTGGAACGGGACATAGGGTGGAGAAGGGGGTGGAGGAGAAGCAACCACAGAGTTTAATGTGTCATTACAAGCATAAAAACAGACTACTGACATTGCCAACAGATGTCGAGCCAGTTTATTTTTGCCATTACAACTCCAGTAGGGAATGAAGCGGCAGGTGCAAATGAACAGTCATGTAGCTTTATTCTTTACTATTGCTGCATCATCATTTCTCCTGATCTGATATTCAGATATGCATCATGGAGGGGCTGGTTATCAATACTGTTCTGATACTGGTACGAGTATCACAAGTGCCACAGATACAGCCTAAAACCCTGCATTAGGTATCCAAAGATCCAATATTACGTTTTTATATATCAGCTCATTAACCCTAAGGGAACAACATCACATGTTTGCGTGTGCCTAATCCTACATGTGGATTTTATTTGGACGGTACCTTCTGGCAAGGTGTAGAGTGATCGTAGACTCGGCTCTAATAATGCCCACACCTTTCTAAACGTTCTACTCCCAATAGTGCAGTAATGACAGAAAGATGTTTTAACTCTTTCAGGTGTATGTTATTCAGAAGCAGCGGGCCGATGGAAGAGCTTGTTGGTAGTTTAAATGCCGGCTGCCTGCCGCATGGCCAGTAAAACCCCTCCTTTCCTGTTAATGAGCCTGGAGACTGAGGCCCCCAGTCGGAGCTGGCCCGAATCAAAGCATCTGTGGGGATGGAGGCTGGGGGGCAACAGGGTTTGTTGAGGGAGTGGGGTTCGGGTGTCTGCACTGGCACAAGACCAGGGAGTGAAGCTTGCAGGGCAACAAGGACATTATGGAAGTCATTTCCCAGTCTCTTATAAAGACAATTGTTGGTGGTTTTCCTTTAATCACAACACCAGGTAAATGCTCATTCGGTGAGCCATGCAGAGCAGTGGTTTGAAAAAAAGCTGCATCATAAAACCGGTTATCACATAACTCACGAGGGAGTGACAGTGGCTGTGCCCGCCACAAGGTCAGAGCGTTGGCAGCGATCCAGAGACGGCGGAGCTCCTCCGCACCCCATGGACCCTCCAACTGTCTGGAGATACGCAGCGAACAGCTATTAAGGTGTCTCTGCTCTTTGTGGTTGCAGCTCCCCGATGCGCAATTCAATCACAAACACCCAGAGACTCAAAACAGTCAACGGCAAGTCACTTACATCAACAAAGCGGCATATCATGACAAAACATCTTCCAGGAGAACAAAGTGCAAATGCAATCTCCCAGGTTTACCAGAGAATTCCCTTTGCCACACCACAATGTGTGATTTAGAAATCATACTTAAGTGCATGCTAAGCGAGTATTCACAGCCAGAAAGAAAGAGAGAGAGAGAACTCTATTCCACAATCCTGGCAAAAACACAGAGCAAATCTGTTCTGTGCTACTAAGGCCTGCTGGGGCAGCCCCCTCTGCCACTGCAGCAATAACAACATGTGGTTTGGCTGCACAGCGCCAGTTTACAGTGGGAAGAGGAGAGGCGCTAAATTAATTTCAGATTCTGTTGTTTGAGAGTCATAAACAATGTTCCAGCAAAGCATGGCATCCAGACATGAGGCCACAGTGTTTGGTCACATGGTTTTGGAAAACCTCATCAGTAGCTTCTCAGGGTTTTTTGGAAATATGTGTATATTGACACACTACAAATCATATGAACACGCCAAACTGTGGTCATATTAGACACAGTGTATGAAACAAAGGTGTGTAGCATGTGGTGTCCTCGGGCACAGCAAGCCTGGCCCGCCCTCGCTTTTTAGTACCAGAATGTAAAGGCCCTTTGTTTCCAAATTATTTCTGGGCCGTTTCCAAAATACTACGATGATACGCAGAACAAAGGCATGTGTCACCAGGCTTCACCTGGCAGGTTTGTTTACAGGTACCTTGAATATTGTGGTTTTGTGATTACATTCATGTTCTGATAAAGTTAAGAAGGCAAGGCTTTCTGCTAAAGCAACTTTAAGTCTTGCTGTCCTCGCTGCGCTGCTTCAGCCTTTCCCACGAGGCTCCAAAACCATAATCTCTTGAAATATTTGCACAGATGACGGCAGCGCTCGACTGTTTTGACATGGAGCGGCGTGAACGAGATCTAGCAGTCACTTTTTCCATCACTGTTCAGTACGGGAAAGGGAATTCCCCTTTTGCCGCTTTCCCCTGTAACCCGCCCGCACGTCTCCCCACCAATCGGTATGCGCCTCCCAGCAGTCCTTCCTCCACTTCCTCCGCCTGTTAGGATTTGTCCACTCAGGGCCACACCACAGGGGCCTTTACGCCCGCCTTACAGCCAGCTCCCACAGTCCTTGCTTTTCCACTCACCCAAGCATGTTGTTCTCACTTTATAAGAGATGCCAAAAGTTCATTTACTGAGATCAGGGGTGCAGGGGTTCGGAGTAAATGCTGCAGGAGGACGAGGAGAGAGCCAGTTCCTGTTCGGCCCCGGTTTCGGCTCAGGAAGGCGAGCAGGGCTGTTTACATTTAATATTTCTGGCAGGGTGCCTTTAAAGCTGCGAGCGACAAGCTGTACAAAAATTGGCCTCTGTTTGCATTTGACTGTGAGTTGATTCCCTCCTTCATCACAACAGCTCATGACTCAAGCTGGAGGCAACACAAAAATATACAGTACACAGAGTCACACACACACTTTCTTTCTTTACCCCTCTTAAACTCATAGTGGCACCTCCCAGTCACTCAAATGTTGATAGAAATATGCCGTAGTCATATGTATTGATTGTTATATTTGCCTGAAGGTGTTTATCCATAGTCTCAGTTCTTAAACATGTTTTAACTGCGCTCACATACCCTCTCCTGCCTTCTTCAATACCAACCACACAAAATAGTTACTTTATTAGGCCTTTTGTTTAAAGTATACGCATTCCCTATATTTTCTTTTAGAGGAAATACTAACTAATCAAAATCTTTATATATCATTGAATTTCTTCTTGGATTCTTGGATTTGTCCAAAGGCCATACAAAACATAATCTCCTGATAGTAGCCACCTCATGGGAACAACAGCTAGGAGTATCAAAGGGCCACCACTGGAGCAGACTCTACAACCCTCCCTCTGGCAAGTATCTGAATATATACATCTGTACGTGCCATATTTTTTCTTCCTGAGGGCCTGCTTGAGTGTGCATGTTGTTGAAAACACTATCTCTTTGCTGATACTGAGGGCACAACAGGCTTGTTGCAATCACAGCTCTCTCAAGGTTGGCAGCCCTGCAGAAACACTTCCCTTTTGCGGTGCGGGGCTTGGTCCAAGCCACTTGAACTTGGCAGGGCTTACCTGGAACAGCCTACCCGTAGGACTGCCACAGACTCGCCCCTCAGCCAAAACAGGAGGCTATAACAGCTGATGTCAGGCACACCTCTGGAAGAATGCCTACAAGTGACTCTTAGGTATTTGCAAAGGAAGAGATAATACAACTGTGTTGAAGTTCCTGTTTTCCCTTTTCAATCAGTTCAGACATTAATGTCATGTGGAACCCATTTGCAGTATGTATCATAATTGTATAAACTCGAAAAAAAAGTTGAGCAAATGTTACAAGGTAGTACATAGAGTACAGAGCCCCCTTACAAAGGACAGAATCGTGCCGACAAGGGGATTTTTTTTTATGAATTGAGGGAATTACACAGATCATATGACACCATATGGAATTCTTTTTACACATAATGTATTTCCTTTGCAGGCGCTGTGAAAGGCGAGGCCTACAGGGAGTCGTCTTTAGGAGGAGAGGAGGAGAAGAAGAAAAAAAAGAAGCTGTATGTATGGGGAGGAGGGAGGAGGGGGTCGAGGGGTTTAGTGGGGCGGTCCAAGCACGCTCAGCGAAAATATGCCTCATGCACTCGTTGAACTTGGGGCCTGCGCGGGCTTCTCTCAAGGTTACAGGAGAGGCCTGTGCGGAGAGGAGCAGGAGAAAGAAAGCATGCAGCAGCAGTAACACGCCACCAGCTTCCACTGGACTCTGCTTTGTGCTGCTTTCTCTTGATTTGACCATGAATGCTTAAACATGTGTTATAATTCAAAGTTGCGACGTGACATTGCATACACGTAGTTACTAGTATCCCTGAGTGTAACTATGAGCGCCTGTTGCTCTGATAAAAGAGGCAGCAAGCGATCGCCTTTGACACCAGGTTTCCTTCCCTCCTCGGAGCCTGCCGGGACCCGCGCCATGTATCCGCTGCCGCACCCCTGAGCCCCTCGACCACACAAAGGTAGGAAGCTGGCCACCGGCGCATTGTGACGAGGCCACTAAATCACCTCTCGTTTTATCCACCGCTATTTCTGCATGTTTCGCCAGTGGAAACCATAACGACAACAAGGCCTAGTAAATACATCTGAGGAGGGGGACAGGCTATTAGCTAATTGAAGGATATGGTCAGTTAGATGTACAAAGAACTTTGTTGTGAGAGGTCTGAATAAAAGGAAAAATAAACACTCACAACAGCTTAAATTCAATAAATATATTATCTGAAATAATTATTCCAAAATGGGAGCTGATTATATGGCTATGAAATAAGACAAATTACAATTATGCTTAATCTGTGCTGGACTTTTCTACAAGTTCAAAGAAAAAACTATAGATGTATCCAAAGAAAACACATTGGGTCTAAATACAAAAATTATAAGCAGGTTTTGTCCTTAGCAAAATGTTTGACCTTTCAATAAGTTGTTAAATGTATGTTTTTTTGCTGTTGAAGCTATGTTGAAGGCAAAGATTCTTCCACACAACTTTTTGGGTCATAATATTTGATACACAGGATGAAACCATTACAGTACACACACAAACCTAAAACCCCTATGACATGGTCTGATTGTGGATTACAGATTTTATTATAATCTGTCCATACTCCTAAATCATCGCAATGCATGGGAATTGTATGTGTTGGTATACAGCATTAAGGGCTGTAAAACCAACATGTCAGCATAGCATGTAAACACACACAGTGCTGAAACAACAACTTGTATTTGACCTCAGCCTGACAGACAGGGGTCAAAGGGCAGTGAGGAGTAAACACTCGGCTGAAGGAATTGGTCACTTTGCCTTTCCCCAAGAATTAGCAGGCCATTAGCACCTCGTAAAAGTGCCACTTCTCTGCTTTTCAACAGATTAGGCCAGCTTTCATACAAACAGCTGAGCAAAGTGATTCATTGTTATCACATAAGAGTATAGAAAACTGTGTAAAAGAAAAAAAGCCACCGAGGAATTATGGCAACACAGCCTACTTCAATGCAAAGATATTACTTTGTTATAATCTTATGAAAGCAAACGGAAACATTTCTTCACAGGCAATCCTAATTTCCCCCAAAACAAATTAGCATAAAATGAAGTGGGTCATTCTCATGTGTTGATTAAAGTAGGCCTCAGCTTTGCCCAAGTGGCCACGCGGCAGACTGCGAGTTCAAGCTTTACGCGCTGAAGGCCTTATTGGGCGTCTTTCGTAAACAAGAGGAGAGGAGAAAATAGCCCCGTGGAATATAATAAAGGGAGCATCAAAGCAGCTATAGAAGAGAAATCAGTCGGAGTATTAGGAGCCACTTGGGGTTGTCAACGTGATAGCTTAGATGTCACTGGAGAACATCTTCATGGACGTAAAGCGGGCAAACAAATTAAGAGGGATGAGCTCGCACTCTGTGGATTAGTTTTAGATTTATGGAGGCAATTTGGAGCCGATGTAGAGGCAAGAGAAAAACAAGTCTGTCAAAGCTGTAAAGACATTCACATTGTTAAATATGAAATGACTGACGCGAAAAGCAGGCAGCACTATGTGTGACTTATTGTGAAGTTATTTGACTTCCAGTGAAAAGGATCTGAGGTACATCACAAACCGGCTCGACTTGACAGGGCGCTTCTCATTATTTGAGTAACATCATTTCCCATAGTTAACCTTGGCCACTATAGCACAGCTTGTTCTGTAAAACGATAGGGTTTGTGTGTCCTGAGACCAGGTTCAGCAGTAGCATGCTGACCGCTCTTCACAAAACAAGGGTGTGCTGCAGGTGCGAGGAGTGAGGAAAAGCTATAGATTGGACTACAACTGAAAAGAAAATGGAGGGCTTTTATATCAGCAAAAAATGGTCAAAACTAGAAAACCTTTTGGGTCTTGATTTGAGCAAGAGAACCCTAATGTGAGACGATAGGAGACATACACGCAAGGATATCTTTAGGCTTGTGTGATTTCTCGTTGACACATTTACTGTTCAAGACCTCAAGTGTGATAACATGCACACACCACAGTGTGCCGTGGAGAGTGACAGCAGCCACAGGAGAAACGGTCCAATTAATGCCAAGAAGTCTTCCGAGTGTAACCCTCTTTATAATCCCACAACCCACTTTATGGGGAGCGCTCCCCTCTTTGGCTGATGTGCGGATCATTAATCACATTTTCTATCAAACGCCATCCCCTTGCTGCAAATATTCACTCCCAAAACTCACATCAATGCATGTCAAAAACTCCTCGACACCAGAGCACACTACTTCAACTTTTCACAATCAATTATTAAGAGAAAGGGAGTTTCTTAAAGTTCATACATTTGTATTATGGAATCAAATCTGGGGTTGAACACTTTTTAGCTAAAGTCAATCAACACTGTGCCACCACCTGCAGAGACAGAAAAAGCCCTTGCTGTATAAAAGGAGCATGCCAACTGCATTAAGACACAGGAAAAGAAAGCATGATGGTTTTAACTTTAATTTAACCAATGCTACTTAAAGCCGAGCTCTCAAAATTCTCGCTCAGCACGCAGAACTGGCACTTGAGACATGAAAGGGCAGCCGCGACGTTTGGTTTACATTATATCTTAGTGGTTTCCACATTGTGGCCAGGGGATAAGCATCAGGAGAGGTTTATCTCTGTCACAGCGCTCTATGGAATATGTAAACACTATGTGTAATCAGTGCTGCAGTGAAATGGAGTGCAGGGGGGTGTGTGGGAAAGTGAAGTGCTTTAGGAATAAGCCACCATCTTACTCCTTGAGCTCACGGAAAGATAAGACGTTGGAGGCAAAGTTGCAGAACATTTAAAACTATATGTTGCTTTTTGCAAATAAAGCACTGCAGCCATCCACAGATGTATTTATCAAATAAACAACATTAAAGTTTCATGCAGGAGGTGTTGTTGGTAACTTGGGAGTTAACCTTTTAGACCTTTACTCTTATCCGTCCCTATCTTCTCCTTCTCCGAGTCTTTGTCCCCATCATCCACCCTGTGAGGCAGCACCACTCTTTTTGTTGAGGACGGGTACTCGCTTTAGACGAAGAGGCTCTCTCCCGCCTAAAGCCCAAGTTTTAATATGGTGTCCAATCAAAAGTGATTAAGCATCGCAGAGCACAAACAATGCTGGCCCTTAAATCTCTGTGAACCCTCTTTCAGTGGAGCGAATGAAAGAGCACTCTGTCTGCAGCAGGAGATGACAGACGTGCGCTTGAAGATAAGTCTTCTCCGTGAGCCCTCATCCCACCAAATAAAGGCATAAATAAATAGATTACAAAACGCTAAATGCAGCAGAATGGGATCCCACCTTGAAGGCATCGATGGGGAAGTGAAGGGTTTTTCTTTGCTGGTAAATCTTTGTCCTTTCACTGTAAAATGCCTTGACATGTTACCTAAAAACTGGTTGCACGGAGAGGTTGAGCGAGTGAGCAATCGGAGATTACTCAGCCGAAAGGAATTAAATTGAGAATAGAAGACTCAAACGTATATAAACAAAGAGAGCAAACAAGCCAGTTAACGAACAGTAGCAAGCATGAACACAGCAATGAATCACTAGTGAGTTCAACCAGCCGCCAAGTGCGGTATCACGTGAGAAAGAAGTATTCCAGAAATGTAAACTTTGGTGAAATTTACTTCAAATCATCGTCTTGCTCATAAATTACATACAATCACAATGTAAAACGTACTCCGCATGTTACACAATACCCTGAACTAATGCATTAGATGGATGCGGTTCCTGCAGGGCATACGGCAGCATGAAGATTTAAGGAGCGCTGGATACCAGGGTCGGCTAACTAACGCCACAGGGATACTGTTCTTAATGGGCCTTTTTTGAAATGCCAAGAGAAAGAGAAGCGGTGCAGCCTAAAATGACACGGTGGTTGGACGAATGTTTCATCATTATATAATATGAACATGAGACAGTGCTGCCTAAATTCATGTTTTCAGCACGTGTAATGTAATCTGGCATCTGGTAAGATTCCATTGTAGTGGGGCCGTATAGGGAAAGTAATTGGCTAGCTACAATCAGAATTGAAGTTTCGTGGAAAAGAAAGAACATGTTTCAAATTGGGCGAGTGGCACGAGAATCAAGACGAGAATTTAGGCCCAATACCCCTTTTCGAAAACGTTCACCTTGCTGCCATTTTTTATTCAAAGACTATTTTGACAAATGTTTCCCTGTTGTGTCACGTAAAGAATGCTTTATAGCCCAGATCTGCTCAGGAATCCATCCTGGCTGCACCAAATTAATATTGCAAATATAAAGCATTTTTATTATCCATTTTCCTGTTGTGTGTGTGGGGAGAAAATCATTCTTATGTCTGATTGGAAACAGCATTGGTGTGTTTGTTCTTCAGCAAATACAACATGTCCTTTTAAGTATGTTGCTTCCAAAATATCAGTCTTACAAGGTATGGTTTTAGCTTGGATCTAAGAAGAATTGGATGGTCTTAAAGACAGTATTAGCAGGGATCTATTTGCACCATAAGAAGGACTCAAGAGTCTACGCATGCAGACACTTTTGCAAACTTAAAAGAGGGAAAATCATCACTGGGAGGTCACGCGAGGGAGGAGCTGGCGCTAAGACAACAAGGCGTCAGCCGTGTGCAGCCTGCTGCCGTCAACGAGTCAGCGTGAGTACTACCATCTGACCGGGCTTCCCTTTCCACTGCCCCCAAACAAGCAGCCAAAACTAGCTAGTGCTGCTGCTGCTCCTGGCTCCTGCTTTCAATTTCACTAGAGTGGGCCAAGTAATGGCTTCAGCATTTTGTGGTCTGCCGACACACATGGTGCGTGTAGCGATCTGGTGCTGTCCCCTCCAAACGATGGTTATGGGACGTGCAGGGAGACAGACACAGCCCCGGGGGCCGGCCACAGTTATTAAGGGGGGCGTGCATTGGTCTTGTTATGACTTGCACTCAAAACCGGTGTGTTGCCGCAGATTGTTGAATCGACTGAGCAGTGGACATTTTTCAATGTTTTCAGACATTTGATGTACT